GATTGATTTTGACATAAATTGGGATGACATTTCGGATATAGAAAAGAAAAAAAAGATATTTATTTAAAAAAGGTACGAGGGGAGCCATCACTGAGGGAGAGAAGGGAGACGGGGCGTCGACGTGGCATGGTTTGATTGGAGGGAGGACTGGAATCGCACGGGGTCGTGAATGGTCGATGTCTCATTATCGCAGGGATGGACCCACCACGTGGGTTCCTGAAAGGAGGATCAGAGGATCCAACGGCTGAGGAGAGATGTTCACCGCATGGGCATCTAATGGATCAGAAGGGTTCAGATAGGGAAGAAGATTGGGCGGGTGTTTTTTTAGCCCACACGTCACGCCTTCTCGCTCCATACTGTGGGTCCCACTCCTGTATTATATAATTAACAGTAAAAAATTATATTATATAGTAATGTAATTAATTATTAAAATAAAATAATAATGTCAGTTAGTAAATTTTAAAAACTTAAAAAGAAAGAAGGAAGCACGAGTTTCAAGGTAACAGAAGAACACAGCACCGTTTAATGCGCTTTTAATAACTGACACCTCACTCCTGACACACGTTAAATATAATTGCTTCACGCCCTGTTATATATCTTCTTTCTCTTTTTATTATATTTTTTTAACTTTCAAACAAAAAATTTATCATTATAATAAATATATATTAAAATATGAGTGCAAGTCGGCAATTATAAAACAGTTATGTAAATTAAATTTTTTTCGAAAAATAAAAAGTTTTTTTTTTTTTTTTTTTTTTACTTTTATGTAAAATTAAAAAGAAACACAAAAAGGTAAACTATTACAAAAGAAAACAATACTATTGGAGTTGTACAGGATACTGTTAAAATTATTGAAATTTTGAATTATTAAAATATGTTGTCTCTATATAGTTTTAAAATATAAATTGTGATTCATCCATTTTATTTTTAGGTGTCACAAGCCGCATTAATAATAACATAATATTATGAAAATAATATATATATATATATATAACATGATTTTTTTAATAAAAATATGAAAAAGAAAAACATTTTATAATGCATACTTAAATTTTTATAAATAAATATTAAAAAAAACTACTTATTTTTAACAAATGATAAAATTAATTTTTAATACAATTTAGTTCTTAATATTTTTTATAATTTGATTCCTAAATTTTTTTATTTATTTTAAATATTCAGTTTATTTCTATTTTTTTAATAAAAAAAATAAAATAATCATATATTATATTTAAATTTTTAAAAAATAACTTAACAGAAATAGAAATAAATATAATAATATTATTAATTAATAATTATTTTTAAAATATTTAAATAAAATTTAATTATTTTAACTTTTTTTTTTTTTTGTTATTTCTTACCGTACTTTATTATTTTAAAGTCATGTAATTGATATATAACACATTTCTATCTATCATTTATGCTCCAAAAAAAAAAACTTAAATTTACAGAAATGAAATATTGAATACGCAAAAGATCAAATTATTATTTATTCCTCAACTATAAACGGGAATAAAATCAAGAAAAGCCAAGCCCACAGAAGAGAAGTCAGCTAGAGCAAACATGATTCATGATAAAGAGTTTTTTACTTACATAAGTTAACATAAATCAATCAAAACCCGTAGCTAGTTCATACAAGTATGATCCCATTCTCTTTAATAGTGTCAAGAACAATGCCTAATTTGCCTTCAATTCTCTCACCCTTTCTTGGCTCATAAGACATTGCATATACATCAGCATCTTTAGATCTTTCTGCAATAAGCTTGCCTATAACTCTGCATGCACTGTGATCTGTGAGTGACGGCAAGCTGTTTCTGAGATCCTTAGCGTTTGTCGTGGCAACTGATATCACTTTACTTGTTCCTCTGTGCATCACTTTTGCATGAATGAATTTCTTAGAGAAGAACACATTAAGCAGAAATGGTCTCATGTACATATCAGTCCTTTGTTTCCATGATTTTCTGTTTGGTTTTTTTGCTGCTTCGCCTCGGGACCTACGGGTCCAAGCAGCTTGAATGAAAGAACCCTGCAAAACGTGAAAAGAATTTGATTTCTTTTTCTCCCCTCAGTTGGCATAAAGAATCGATTTGAATAATGGTAATAATGTTTCAGAATTTGCATTATTAAAATGAACACAAAAGGAGGTGATCAAGTAAACAGCTTAAACTTCAAGGACGCCTGATTAGCATTTAGCGTATGGGAGAAACGAACAACTACCACAGTAGTAGGAAATAATTAAAGGCAATCTCAATTGGAATTAAATGTGAAACAAGTTATATTTTGGGGGAAGTGAAAACAAAATAGCTTTATGGACTCACAAACTTCTCTTCTGTTCATCTTTACCGCTTAAGGGAGGCGGATATTTCTGTTAAGAATGAGCATTATTATCTGAACGAAAAGTTTAGGATGTGTTTTATCGCAAAATAGACCGAAGCCTTTCAGTCTGTTATGGGAGTAGGTTAAAATTGACATGCCTTTCTTCCCACCACCGTTCTTGTCTACCAACAACTTAATTGACAAAATCTGACTCCTACAGGGTCTCTGGGATAAACCGACTGGCTGACATGAACTTAGCACAATCCTCCAGATGACAACTACTGATTCTAGCCTTCTAGACCCACAACCAGATTCCATAATGTCCTGAATAACCAACCAAAACCAGGCATGTGAACTCGTCTGATCTCTGAGCAGCAGCCAGAGAAGGGTACCATAGAGCATTTCCCAACCCTCACACAGAAGGAATCTTCTACCTTAATTATTGTTAGGGGTAAAAAACTTATTCTTTCCTCCAGTCACAGATGTCATTTCTATAGAAATTTCTGTAATGTCTTGGAGGCATTTTGCATGGAGGGTGTACAGGAGAAGAGATTAAAAATATATATTATATTTCATCTTCAAAGGCTGTGATCTACTTTTAGTTAATCCAAAGATGAAAGCATTATGAACGTAATTTGCCTCCAAGGAATGAAAGTAATTTGCCTCTAACGAATCATAGTATTTCCTTTTCTTTTTTATAAGAAGCATTATCAAACATATGTAATCAGGCCATCCAAATTCTACAAATTCCCATCCAAATTCTACAAATTCACAGCCAAATAATTATACAAAACAACAAGTGATCATTATAAAAATCCCATGAAAACAACATCAAATCTCAATCATCCAAACCCAATGAGGTCAGCATCATTCCATCTCAAGTTAAAATAGATTCCTACATCAATCAACAAACATGGTATGCAACAGCCTCCGCAATTAACTA